CACTTACCTCTCTTATCTTCACAACTCCAGCTTGGGATTTTGCATAGACTTATGAGCAGTAAAGCCACAAAATGAGGGTCCATTTGAGGGATGGCAATGCCACCAAAACCATCCCCACACTTTGCCCTCCTAATCGCTCACGCAAAATATGACATGTTCCTATATTATAATTAGTAGACGAATATTTGCATTATAATAAGCATTTTTTCCCCTTTTTCGTAAGATGCAGTTCAATGTGATAATATAACTGACCTATTATTTTCAAAGTCATTCCTCTAATGTACAATAACAATATCATTGTGGTTAATTTAAACACAACGCGAATGACAACTTGAGTTAAATACGAACTGAAACAAAAAGAGAAATTCGTGTCATATAATCTTCAAGAGTAGTACTTTTCTTTTCCCTTTAATTTAATCAGTATGTATTTAATAATGTGCACATTCATGGTATATATATAACCTTGCTAATGTTTAGCTCTGTTTCCTCTGTTTTGTCTATGATCATTAGTTAATCTCTATCAGTTACTATTTCATTGAGGTGATAAACGTTTCTTAATATCTAAGTTGAAAAGGATTTTTCTTGCCCTTTGGAAACGACTTTTGAATATGATATATGAAGAAGACTTACACTAGGTGCCATGGTGACTTGTAGAAAGAAGCTGAGTCAACTGACTATAGCTTGATTGCTTGTCCAGGGAAAAAATGAGAGCCACCTAACACCTACTGAAGAGATAAGAGAAAATTCTTCTAAAAAAAACTGAGTCAATAGTCACTCTACTTTTCTCATAGCTAAAGACTGTTTGTGCATCGTGAGCCATAAACAAGACTTATTGCCCATCTCGTACTATTATACTGCTAGCGAATGAAAGTATAGGTAAGTTTATCAGTCTTGGTCTTCTCAGTATAGAAGACGTATGAGAACAGTAGCGTGAGCCCAAATATTAATTAACAAAAACAATAATTTTCAAATTTTCTTGACCCTTTCAAATTTAATTATTATATATTTGAATAATGTTGAAATTCATGGTATATATTTAAAATGAGGAGAGGATGAACATTCNAAGGACCTATCTACCTACTTCCAAGATCCAATTTTCTTATTAAAGTCCAATTCTTCAGTTATTACATATCCTTGTTGAATTTTGATTTGGCTTAGATGCTTGACTCCTTTTGCAGTACGTCTTGGAAGGTTTAGAGACTTGATTTATTTTGCAAAACGTCTTGGAAGGGTAAACTTTGTAAACCCACCAGATTAGCAAGGTTATACATCCTTGTCGGAGTGCATTACTTGGTGGAATTTTGATTTCGATGCTTGACTTCTTTTGCAGAATTTCTTGGAAGGTTCAGAGGCTTGATTTATTCTGCAAAACGTCTTGGGAGGGAGAACTTTATAAACCCGCCAGCTTAGCAAATCATATATCCTTGTTGAATTTTGGTTTAGATGCTTGACTCCTTTTGCAAAACGTCTTGGAAGGTTTAGAGGCTTGATTTATTTTGAAAAACGTCCTGGAAGGGTGAACTTTGTAAACCCACCAGATTAGCAAGGTTATATATCCTTGTCGGAGTGCATTACTTGGTGGAATTTTGATTTCGATGCTTGACTTCCTTTGCAGAAACGTCTTGGAAGGTTCAGAGGCTTGATTTATTTTGCAAAACGTCTTGGGAGGGAGAACTTTATAAACCCACCAGCTTAGCAAATCATATATCTTTGTTGAATTTTGGTTTAGATGCTTGACTTCTTTTGCAAAAGGTCATGGAAGGTTAAGGGGCTTGATTTATTTTGCAAAACGTCTTGGAAGGTTTAGAGGCTTGATTTATTTTCCAAAACGTGTTGGGAGGGAGAACTTTATAAACCCACCGGATTAGCAAAATTATTATTATATATCCTTGTCGGAGTGCATTACTTGGTGGAATTTTGGTTTAGATGCTTGACTTCTTTTTTGTAAGTGGGGCCAAACGTCTTGGAAGTGGTAAATTAGAGAGGAAGTGGCAAGAGAGATGGGGACGAAGTCAAGTTGGGGCTTTGGAAATAATCATGTTGTTAATTAGAGAGGAACTATGGAATTTATTTAACCTACGTCGTTTACTGCCACATCTCGTACTGCTAGCCAATGAAAGTCTGGGTAAGTTCACAAGTTTTGGTCTTCTCAATATAGAAGGCGTATGAGAACAGTACGGTGAGCCCAAATATTAATTAATAAAAATAATAATGTTTAAATTTTCTTAACCCTTTCAAGTTTAATTAATATAAATTTAATAATGTTCAAATTCACGGTATATATTTAAAATGAGGAGAGGATGAACATTAAAGAAGTAGTAATCAGACTCTTCAAAAAATAGAGTAACATTTCTACCAAATATGGTAACAGCAACAGATAGAAAGCTATAAAATTTAAGTTAATTTCTTTTCTCTTTTCATTGATAATTATTCTACATTGCTCTTCTCTAACTCTGGTTTGGCCTATGTTGTTTATTCAATCTCTTTCATTTAATAGTTTACTGCTATGCTAACTTTCCAACTCAGTATCTAATTTGAAAAAGATTTTTTAAACAAGACATTCCCAGTTGTCAATGCCGGAGCAACTTGTTTGGAATATTTCTTGCCCTTCGGAAACGATTTTTGAACATGATATATCTATAAGACGTACCCTAGCTGCTAGGGCAACTTGTAGACTGTAACTTAGTCAACTGACTAAACCTTGACTTGCTGTTAATGAGAACCACCCAAAACACTGAAGAGATAAGAGATTATTGTACTCAAAGACTATTAGTGCCCTCTTATGGTGACTATGTCATCACTGTCAAAGACTATTTGTGCATCTTGCTGTGATGAAAAAAACTTCCTGTCACATTTCATATTACTAGTTAATGAAGTTCTAGGCCAATTTATAAGTTTTGGGTCCACTCAACTCAGTAAAAGTATTTTGGTGAAAAACTGTTGTTTCAAGTTTGGGATTCTAGTTTAGCTTCGCTCACCCAAATGTTCAATGATTTGCCGCGCTTATGGTTTTTGCAAACTTGAAACAACTTGGTCTACAAGGATTAACGTTTATGGATGGAAACTACTAATAATACAAGGATAAACTTCTTATGGGGTTTCTTGACATGCTCGCATATTATAACTACAGAGGCTAATATTTCCATTGTAATAAGCATTTTTCCCCTTGTAGTTCAATGTGATAATAGAAATCACCTATCATTTTCAATGTCATTTCCTCTAGGGTACAGTATTAATATCATTGTGCCGTTAATTTAAACACAACATGAATGGAAATTTGATTAGTACTTTTCTATTCCCTTTTAATTTTAATTATTATGTATTTAATAATGTGCACATTCATGGTATATATATAACCTTGCTCNCATAAATGATTACTTAATTAATTATAAATTTATAACATCACATTATAAACATTAGTAATTAATTAAATGATTAGAAATTTAATTAATTAAAACATTACATTATAGTTAAATAATTACTTAATTAATTATAACATTACATAGTTAAATGATTACTTAAATAATTATAATTTTATAACATTATTTAATTAATTGATTGAATTCAAGTGTTGCCTAGAGATTAGAAGATTTATGAGTCACATTGGACACAAATGAATGAGTAATCAAAATTTGTTAGGGGAGTATTTGTAAACTTTTAAGGTATTTTTGTCATTTTATAAACTAATGGGGGGTAATTGATTTTTTATAGGGTACCCGGATAAGGAACCCGAACCTGCATTTCAAGTTCCGGTTCCCCCGAAAAATATAGGGTACACAGAGCCGCTCTCCCCAAAATAGTATATGAGACATTCTATTTCTAATAAGACTCATATTTGAATTCTTAATAGGACTATTATAATTTTATTCCTATTTACAATTGTATTATTTATTAAATGGTTTTTCTAAATACATACAATTTTACGTGAGAATAAATAGGAAAACGAGCCACAATATTCCAACATAGGACATATAACATACATCATACAACAGTTCCATGCAAACTTTTGAATAAGCTTTGGATTCAAAGAAACAAAATACACATATATAAGGCAATCAAAGAAGGAAGAGAATTCCTGTGTGTAGCCAACAACGTCTAATACATGTCTATGAACGATACAAAGAGGATTAAGCAATATAAGCTTGTGCAGGAACTCTAAAATATTAATGTTATTATGTATGCATGTTACGTATTCATTTTATCTTTGCTCAGAAGTTTTAATTTCTATCATATGTTCCCAATAATGCATGTAGGGGCATATATGCATAATGCATGTTAACATGTACAACTTGTATATGAATAATCCATGGTGATCATTTCTCATAGTTGAATGAATGAAGTGATCCATCTTTGTCAATGTAAATCAGTAATTTTAGAGAGTTAATTCTCGACCAGCTGATCCCAAAATGTAATCCAGTGCACATACCTAGAAGGATCATGACATTTCCTTGGAGGTATGAATAGGAACTAACCAACTAGGTTTGAAATGTAAATCTAACCAACTAGGTAAACATGATAAAAGTTTCAGGTTAACTTCATAAGAAACCCAAGCGTTGAAGAAACAAAGAAATGCTCATGTGGTAATTAGATGGATGAATAGCTAGTGTAAAAGTGCAGGACTGTGATTTAGTGTTTATAACTACTTTGGGTGGCCGATTAAAAATAAAATGATTTATTTCTTTATAAAATTTATTATAACCTTCCTAGTTAACGAATGAACCACCCAAGCCAAATGGTGACTCCTCCATCTCTATTACAAAACATTTTATAATTTTTAATATGAAATTTTTTCTAAAATTTCTAGTTGTATTTCCAGTCAATTAATGTGGCAACATTATATTGACTGGTCGATGAAGTTAGAAAGATGTGGAATATCCAATTAATGCGCTTAGCTTTTACTTTTCGTTAGATATTTATTTAAAACTATTCATATGTGGACAAAATTAAGTGTGGAGTCTGTGGGTACATGATGTTAACATTGTTGTTGTCTATAAATACTGAGCTTCAAACAATACTCTTCATTTCTCAATCCTTTCTTGAGTTGTTAATTACATTGTTCCTATATTTCATTTTGACTATGGCAAAAATGGGTCCTGCTAAGTCCTCCCAAGTTGGAATGGTGGTAGTTTTTGTAGCTGTCATATTTCTCATGATGTCTATTCAGTTGGCTTCTGCAGCCTCTGAATCTGATGACACACTCCCAGTATTTAAATTCGGTAAGTAATTGCTATCAATTTTCTTTTATTAATCAACATACTAATTTAAGAGAATATGCGTAGGAGGAAAACTAAGTCACTGATAATTCAACCTCGATCTCTTTTCTCTGTACTTTTCTCCTCTCTTGCACTTCCAAATGCGACATCGTAATTTCATATCAGGATGGAATAGTCGAAATACTACAATAAAGCTTTGTGAAATTATCATTTCACTCATATGTCTTGATATTATAATAATTAACCATGTTTTCAACATATGGTGCACGCATGCAGGCAGGCGGCTTCTTCAGGTGTCCTATGGGGGACCAGTGACGCCATGGAGCAAAGCCCTCAATGATGAGAAGCCGTAAGTGAGATGAGATATTTTGGGGTCTTAGCAAAATTATTCTCTATTCAATTCCTGCTGAGATATCATTCGGTTCTAGCTCAACAAATTGTGTCCCCAAGAATAAGTTGAGAGACAAGTCGTTCAAAATATGTTTATGGTAATACGGAGTTTTAGAGTCATGTGTTTATTGGATTTATGTTCTTGTATTGTGTAAGATGTGTAAGGAATTGTGTAATTTTAATTAAATAAGAGACATGTCAAGTTGTTATTGGTCTGACGACTATCTTTATTATTTAAATGAATACTTTCTTTTCTGTTAGTGTTCCTTCTGGCCATATCATACTAAGAACGGAATTTTATATCATTCAGAAACTTATGGATAGTTAAATAAATTATTTTACAAGTTATATTTCTAAAAAGAAGCTCAAATTTTAGGATTTTCCTTTAAGCTCTTTTTCAGCTTCTTTGAACTTATGGAAAGAATCATTACAGCTGTTCCAAAAGGGTGAACAAGTGGTTAATTTGAACGAGCTAGGCACACCATAAACAAACGTGAAATTGAGTAGCATCAATTACAGCAAAAATAAGACTAAATCTTTATTTTCAAATCAACAAGGAAGCAATCGGTCAATTAATAAATAATACTTTCTATCAACTCTGGTTACGCTTGCAAGTTATGATTTTGAATAATATAAATTTGTTGCCTCAATGATCAACACTGGCCATTACACAATTGAACTTGAGACCAGATTTTTTTTTTTTTTTTTCTGATCAGTTGATATTTAATTTATGTATCTGCTTTGACTGAAAGTTTTATGGCAAAAATGGACAAGTTAATGGCAGTACTCTTCCAGCAATCTTATCCAAAATCAAATTATTTGTCAACTTATTATTCTTGTCAAGGGCAAGAGTTTGGGGTTTCATGCCCAAATTGCGGGGTTCTGTTTGCTAGATTTCAAACATGCAAAGATTGATTTAAATTTCTTAGGGTTGTGTTTGCTAGATTTCAAACTTGCTAGATATGATGACATCATTAGTCCAACCTGGGAATCGGCCCCTTGGTCGGATCAATCCCTAAGTTGGGTATTAAAACATTGGTTATGACCTCTGTTTTTAGAAGTCTATTGTTCAACATTATAAGTTTACGTATTATTATTGTGTACAAGTCTAGTTGTGTTATTATTATCATTATTATTGTTATTCTATCAATACAAAGAGAAATGTTCCCACAATTTTATAATTTGACGACCTTTGATGGTAAGACTAGAAATCAACTTTTACATAGAAATTTGTGGGCACTATGATTTGTAGATAAGTCAACTGGATATTAGCTTTTGGATGCATTTCAGGTCCTCCAAAATTGTGTCCAACTTATCCTCAAACTAAGGGTGAAATCGAGTCGAGTCGAGTTGAGTATCTGACTACTCGAGCTGGGCTTGATTGCTACAGTACTAAGTTCGAGCTCGAGCTCGAGCCTAATGAATCGAGCTTGAACTCGAACTTGGTACCTTAAAGTGATACTCTAGCTCGGTTAATTGAGCTTTCAAGCTCAAGTTGGTAAAAAAAAAATCTCAAAAAAACCCAGTAGACAATGACAGGTTTACCATCTAAATTTGTTGTGAATTTGCAGACTAACTCATATCAAATCATTAGATAATAAATACAAATATCAGAGTGATAATAAGTTTAAGTCAAGTAGCATAAAATCATTCATCATCATCAAGTGCAAGTAGCATATCATGATTTCATCAATCATATGAAATAGCATACAATAATACTACACATACAATCTTTTTATATAAATTTTTTCTCATAAATTTATACGTTAAAAGATGATCGAGTGAAAATTTATTTTAAATTTAAAGTCACTCAATCATCTTTTATCACATGAGTTTGTGAGAGAAAGTTTGTATTTAAATATTGTAGGTGTAGTATTACTCAATAGCATAACATCGGTCATCTCATGTCTCATCTGCTGTCTCTCAATGTCGAGGACTTAATCTCTTGCCTCTTGGCCCAAGACGTGCATATTTATTATTCTTTGGTCAAGACTCAATTCATTACTTATTTTATACAAATGCAATGCAAATTATGCAATTAAGTCTTTTTCTTCTAAACATCAATCCTTCTACTAAGATTTTATGTTCTCATACTACGCATTACACATACACTACACGATACAAATACACTCAAAAGATTTTCATTATTCAATTTCGATTTGTGTTTATTTCTAATGTATAAAAGCAATTTGAGGTAATTGTAGTGAGAAATTAAGAATAGCTTAGTTTACATGTCCGATTCACATTTTTCTTTTAAACAGTTGATCAAAATGAAGAACATGCAGTCTTAACTTGGTCAATTCATAGATTTTTTTTTTTTTATATAAACTGGAATTATTAACTAACGTGCAATCCCGCCACCAACACCAGATTAATTGTTTTCTCCACATGAAAATTGATGGTCAAAAAATCGAACTTAATTAATTCAAACCAATCCTGCACTAGATTGTGTTCATCATTCTAATTCAAACATACAATTATGTTAGGAGTTGTTTAAAAATTGTACTTCGGGTTTGAATAATTTGTACACTATTAGATAATAATTTCTGGTCAATTTTGTACTACAGAAACTTCAGCACAGCCACCACAAACCAAGTTGTAAAGGTTTCTCAACTTAATATCTAAGCCGTATAAGATTTTTAAATATGATACCTAAAAAAACCAGACCCAGCTGCCAGACGTCGACAGCTTGTTTACAATATTTTCTTGCCCTTTGGAGACCCATTTTTGAATATGATATAGAAATTGTTTACAGTTTCGGGCCCTCTCAACTTATTAAAATTGAAGAATAATAATGTTTGAGAGTACTATGTTTCTTTTCCCTTCTAAGTTTAATTAGTATATGCATCATAATGTGCACATTAACAGAATATATTTCATAAATAGGAGAGGATGAACGTTAAAGTAGTAATCAGACTCTTCAAAATTATAGAGTAAAATTTCTAGCAAATAGAGTAATGGCAAGAGATAGAAAGCTGTAAAATTTTTGGCCTATGCTCTTTATTGGCAGATGTTCTATATTCAATCACATTCATTTTACTAGTTTATTTCTATGCTACAGGCTCTTTTGTCTTATCAGTGATTTTGTTAGTTAACTGGCACTGGATACTAAAATGCAGACATATTTTAAAAGATTTTTTAAGTTTTTTGTTTTGTTATTCAACCAGTATCAAGCTATTCTCTCGTACACAAGATTAAACTATTCGAGCCTGATTTCATCCAAGCGTAAAATTTTAATGGAGGGTTAATTAATATTTCCAACCCAGTTTCTATTTGAAAAAGATTTTTACATATGATACCTAAACAACACATTCCCACAGTTAGGTGTGGAGCAACTAGTTTGGAATATTTTCTTGCCCTAGCTGCCAGGGCAAATTGTAGGAAAAAAACTCAGTCAACTTGTCCTGGGAAACAAATGAGAACCACCCAAACACTGAAGAGATAAGAGATTAATCTCCCCAAAGAAACTCCAAATTAAAAAAACAAGTCAATAGCCTTCCATCAGTCAAATTTGGGCGTTGTGATTGTGACTGGTCACTCTAATTTTGTCACTACTAAAGATTAATTATTTGTGCATCTGGCTATTACATTTTTTTTTTTTTTTTTTTATTGAGGTGTTTAAGTCGGTTTACGTACACCTTGGCTAATCCTTAGGAAGAGCTATCCTATAACAATCCATTGCCGCGGCCTTCTAAGTAAGTCATGGGCAAAGGTTCTACCTTTGTCCTAGTGGGGAATCGAACCTGGGATTATAGGTTTGCTATTCACAATCCCCTTGGTTCACCCTTACCGTTAGGGCACCCATGGGTGGGCTCGTTGTTTCCTTGTCTTGGCCATGAACAAGACTTATTGTTACATCTCAAGTTGCTACTGACTGAAAGTTTGGTCAGCTTTTAAGCCTTGGGTCCCCTCAGCTTAATAATTGTGAGGAAAAAAAGTTGCATGAGCCCATAAAGAAATCTGTAACTTACCCTCTTTTTTTACCAGTACAGCTTTAGGCGAATGGGATATAATTAAAAGAAAGTGTATGGTACCACAGTGGTATTTTTAACATGGTATGTACCACAAAATAATGCATACGTGTCAAATGGTTATTATATTTAATAACTACCAATAAGAATTAATTTAAAAATTTAGGAAATAGAAAAAATTGACAAATGGCATAAATTTACAAGAGGGTGGTAATACCTTTATTGTATTTTAGATTTTTTTCCTATAATTAATGGTATCAAGATTTTTACAGTATATAAAATGTAATATGAGGCAAGCGTTTCTCCTTCAATCAATATCAAGAGAGATGGGACCACTTTCAAGTTTGGCTTTTATTTATATCACTCTTGTGCACTTGTTCATGTCGCCAATCCCACACTAAAACCACGCAACATCCTGATATCATGGGGAGAATTTTTTCTCTTTGCATATTCTTAGCTTTCTTAGTTCATTTTTCGACACTTTCCTTTGTTAATGCGGAAGTGACCGACATTTCCACAGATAAACAAGCTCTTCTTGCCTTGAAATCTTGTATAAGCCATGATCCTAGCAACTTATTGGCCAACAATTGGTCCATAAGTAGCTTTTTTTGTGATTGGATTGGTGTCACTTGTGGCGGTGCCCATCACCAAAGAGTGATAGCTTTAGATATTTCTAACTTGGGTCTTACAGGCACCCTTCCTCCTCAAATAGGAAATCTATCTTTCCTTGTAACTCTATCCATCAGAAACAACAGCTTTCATGGCTCTTTGCCTGACGAGTTGTATCAGTTACGTTCATTGAAATACTTAAATTTAGGTTATAATAGATTTTCTGCTGGACTGCCTGAAAGCATTTTTGATAATCTTCTCAATTTGGAATTCTTTTCTTTGCATTCAAACATGTTCAAGGGAAAAATACCATCCACTTTATCAAAATGCAAACACTTGCAACAGTTAGGTTTGTCATCCAATAATTTCATAGGAGCCATTCCAAAAGAAATCGGAAACTTGACTCAGCTTAAGTTGATAGATCTTGGAAGCAATAAACTCCAAGGTATGATCTCTCTCTCTCTCTCTCTCTCTCTTTATATATATATATATAATAGTATGTGGGGGGGTAGGTATACTAACCTCAAATTTTATATTATTATGGAAAATATCATTTTGCTGTAATCCAATTCACTAATTGAGGATTCACATATTTTTGTCAGTGTAGATACCATAGAAATTGGCAATCTTCATAATCTGAGGGTTTGGAACTTGCATTAACCACCTAATTGGTCCTGTCCCGCTGCTATATTCACATCTCAACATATATACTTTCACTACTTGACAAGCACACTCTCAGGGAGTCTTCCATCAACTGCTGAGCTTCCAATCTTGAGTTGCTTTATTTGTGAAAAATAATTTCAGTGGACCATTTCCCGTTTCATCACAATGCTTCCAACCTCCTTATTTGGAATTAGGAACCAACTCATTCTCGGGCATCATTCCAAGTACAATTGGTAATTTAAAAAATCTTTGAGAAATTTACTGTGATAGTAACTACTTCACATCTTCTCTCCCATATGAACTTTCTTTCATCTTTGGCAAATTGCAAGAATTAAGAGTTCTATGGTTGGATGAAATCCATTTAATGGCATCCTTCCAAATTCCATAGGGAACCTTTCTATTCTTTGGAATTGTTATCCAAAGTTTTGCAACATTAGTGGCACATTCCCGAAGATTGAAGTTAAAAATGTTGATGACACTAATTTGTTGGAAATGAATGACTGGATCTTCCCATTTCACTGGGTGGACTACAGAAACTCCAAGGTCTATCTTCAAAATAATAAACTAGAAGGATTATCCCAAATAATCTTTGTCATTGATATTGGTTGAGTTGTACTTGGATGGAACAAATTTTGGACCATACCTCATGCTTAGGTAATCTTACTACACTAAAACGATGTCATTAGGTTTCAACATGTAACTTCTTTCATACCCTCACCTTGTGGAACCTTAAGGATATCTTGTACTTTAATTTGTCATCAAATTCCCTGAATGGATCTCTTCCTTAGAGATTGGAAATTGAAGGTTGCGAAATATAGATGTCAGGAATCTTTTTTCTGGAAATTCCTGTTGTTATCGGAAGCCTAGAAAATCTACAATCTCTCTCTTTAGGACAACAGATTAAAGGCTAATTCCTGAAACGTTTGATCTTGAAACTAGAACTTGGATTTGTCCATACAAACTTCAGGAGTTATTCCAAAGTCTTTGAGAATCTCTTACCTCAAATATCTAAACTTGTCTTTCAACCAATTAGAGGTGAAATTCCTACAAGAGGATTTTTGCAAATCTTCTTCATGTGTTTATGGGGAATCTTGCATTATGTGGTTTTAATCCAAACTAAAAGTTCCACCATGCAAAAGTAGCACTCATCGAAAACAAAAGTTCTCTTATTGATTCTGTCATACGCAACGCAGTCACATTAGCTGTGCTGTTCTTTATTTGTGTTGGAAATGCCGCAAAAAACACAAAGCTACTTAGTATTCTTGATATGTCGCCACAAGACATGGAGAAGAATTTCTTACATGAACTTGTGAGAGCAACAGATGGATTATGAGCACAACCTACTGGCAAGGGGTTTTTTTTGGTTCAGTTTACAAAGGAACTTGGTGACGGCATGGAGTTGCAGTAAAGTATTCACCTGCAATTGAAGAAGCTTTTACTAGTTTTGAAGTTGAATGTGAAGTAATGAGTCGTATTGTCATCGAAATCTTGTCAAATCATCACTTGTTGTTTCTAGCCATGATTTTAAAGCACTAGTATTGGAGTATATGCCCAATGGGAGCCTGAGAAATGTTTGTATTCTAACGACAATGTTTTGGATATCTCACAGGGTTGACCATAATGATCGATTGCATTAGCTTTAGAATATCTCCATTTTGGTTTTTCAACCCCCATTTTCATTGTGACTTGAGCCAAGCAACGTCTTGCTGATAAATATGGTTGCACTTGAGTGATTTTGGCATCACTAAGCTCTTAGGTGAGAAGATCTATGACTCAAACACAGACCCTTGCCACCATTGGTTTTGCGCCAGGTATTTTTTCTAATTTAATTTTTTTTATTAAAACTCTTTGTTACTTTTTTTTTTTCTTTCTAGAAAAAAAAGAAAATTATGATTTATATTTCAACATAAAGTGAATGTGATCACTATCAGAACATGGAAGAGAAGGAAAATTATCCGAAGGAGATGTGTACACTATGGTATCATGCTATGGAAACATTACAGGAAGAACCAACAGATGAAATTTTTGAAGAAATGAGCTTGAGGAGTGGGTTGGTGAATCATTATGAGCACACGTGTGCAAGTCTTGGACACAATTTGCTAAGAAGGATGATGACCATTTCTCTAGCAAGGAGGAACTTGTGTCATCTACTTGAGTTTGGCTATGAATGACAAGAAATCACCTCGAAAGGTGGCATAAAAGAGTATCAACAAGACTCATCAATATTAGAGTCGAATTTGCAAATTTTAAAGTCAATGATGCACAGCTATCAAATTCAGGTTAGTTTTCTCACTTTTTATTGTCATTGTACCTTTGACTTTAGTTCTAATTCTATTACTTATCGTATATGAGATGAATGAGTTAATTTGTAGACCGCATGATCAAGGCCTCATGTCAGTGAGGTTATGTGTGAAACAACATTCTTGTTCTCGTCTTCGATGACAAGTTCATAATTTATGGTCAACTTTGCTAAAAGTACTTGTAATTTTTTTTTTTTTTTTTTTTTTATTTTTTTTTTTTTTTTTGTAATTTGATAGACCTTAATAACTAAGACAAGTATTGGGGGTTTGTAGAATTTCCTATTTCTAATAAAGATGAATTATATTTCCCTTTTTTTGGTTGCAATATGCATTTAAACCAAAACCAAATGAAGAGTACAATTGACATAAAAATGACTCAACAGTTTCAATATCATTCTCTTTACAATACTAGAGTAAGCTTTCTCGTGATAAAAAAAAAAAAACCAAAGATAGATTATCTGTCAAATGTCTCACTATGGAAATCACAAAATTGAGGGAATGACTATTATTATAATCAACTACCTCTAATAGTTTGGGCGATTCCTTGGGACTCTTAGATGTATTACTTAAATGTCGAAGTTCAAATCCTCACGACTCGACTAACCAATAAGGTATCTATTGGAGCTTACCTAACCCTTACCTTCAAAGTCTTGAGGACTAGTTAGGTATGTGCAGCTGGCCCGAACACCCTCTGGAGACCCAAAAAAAAAAAAAAAAAAAAAAAGACTAGATATCTATATCTTGAACTAGTTAATAGTTTGGTCATCACTAAAAGCCGAAAATCTAAATTTCAGTTAAACTTTTCTCGAATAAAAAACCACAAAATTTTATCCGTCAAGGAAAAATACTATATATTTCATAATCCTATTAGTATTACCTTCCCATTCTCCTTTTAGTTTTGTGGTTATTAATGTTCACATGCTACAGCTAGCAGCCTATCACTCTCCAATGAGAATATGCACCATGTGCAAAGCCCACCACTATTGCCCCAAGGCTTTCAAAGACGTGGATGCTTTTTTATTGTTTTGATACGGATGTTTTGCATCAAATTTATAACATGTTTCCAATATGACATATTCCATGTTATGTTGTTTATATTTACATATTTATTGTTTAATATTATAAATTGATGGGATAGTGTCATGTATAACAATAAAAGATTAGCTCACAATCCAATCTTACAAACTCTCTTTTACAATCCAGACGTGACAGCTCGCTATTAGTCAAATACGAAAATTCATTAGAAACCAAATGCGAGCTGTCACGTCGGGATTGTGAGATTAAATTGTAAATGTAATGTTGTCCTATATATAAACCTATTGTTATTGTTATTATGATATGAATATGTACAAAGAACGATTATATAATTTGACAACACTTGATAATAAGACTAGAAATAAGCTTTTACATGGAAATTTGTGGGCATTGTGATCGGTAGATAAATCTGTGAATTTAGCTTAGGGTTTGCAAATGAAACAGAAGAAAAACAGAGATAAATGTTTAACTTCGTATTTGAATGATTCAATTTCACAAGCTACAGTGAAGAGTTACTTTACTCTTTATATACAGACACAAGAACGAAAAGTAAAGAGGTAAAGTGTATTTTACAACTATCTTTACTGAAAGCAAAAACGACATCGTATTGCAGAATTACAATGTCCTCCTGCTATTTGAATTGTTTGCAGTTTTCGTCCTTTGACCAACATCCCCTCTCAAACTAGACATCTTCCTTCTGCTGCTTCAGCAATCTTTCTTCTACTAGCATTCCAAATTTATTGGTTCTTTTACTAACACCCCTTCTGAAACTAAAGTATCTGTCTGATACCTTTGTGTTCATATAACCCCTTGAGGTAACACACACTCAACTTCTTCAATTTCAGCTACTTAGTTACTCAAGATAAGTAGCTCAACTTCAGTTCCCCATACGTATTGTCAGTTTAAGATGAGCAGCTTTTCACTCAACTGATCACTCAGTTTTAATTTCAACTGATCACTCTTCAGCAGCATATTTTCAGTTGCAAAAAAACAACAAGAAGAACATAATCCAGCTCAAAAACTACTCTGCAATTTTTGTTTCACCAGTTTTAACTTCAACTGATCACTCTGCAGCAGCACATTTCCAATTGCAAGGAAACAACACCAATGCAAAAAACAACTCTGCAATTCTAGTTTCAGCAATTTCAACTTTCAGTAAATCAACTCATCAGTGGCACATTTTCAGTAAAACAACACTAATGCAAAAAACAACACCAATGCAAAACATTTCCAGTTGCACTGCAATTTTTTTGTTTCACTAGTTTTAACTTCAACTGATCACTCTGCAGCAGCACATTTCCAGTTGCAAGAAAAACAACACCAATGCAAAAACAACTCTGCAATTCTAGTTTCAGCAATTTCAACTTTCAGTAGATCAACTCATCAGTAATCAACTCATTAGTAATCAACTTATCAGTGGCACATTTTCAGTGAAACTAACTAACTT